TATATATATATATATATATATATATCGCGCAGTTGTACTTCGAACGGTTAGTTAATGCCTATTTGTGTTATCACTGCAGCTCTGCTTACCTTTTCACCCAGCTTTGCAGCCACAGCCAGACAAAGTAGGGTGGGGCATCATTTTGTAAAGTAGACCATTCTGAATGATCCTCTCAGAGACACGTTTTTGGAAATAAGCAGCTAACTCCAGAGAAACAACTTTGTACATAACAGTGCACCCCACCCATAAAATATCATGGTGCTTTCAAACAATAAAAGCAGCATATGACAATAAAAAAGACAAACGGGCCATAAAGAGTCTGCACTAATATGGCCATATTCAAAGGAAAATAGCCAATTAGTCAGAGAGTACCCGCCCTTTCCTGGATTTGAACATCATAGATTTGTTTTTTTCAGTGTTGTTTATGGAGTTAGAGCATGTTGCCGGGCAATCCGCGGCTTAATTACGTGCGTGACATGCTATATAGCCTGCAGCGGAAGATTTGATTCTGTTTAAATGTACCCTCGGTGCACATGAGGCGGCTGCGCCAGATGTTGATAACCTCCTTCCCACACAAATGTTGCACAGCCACGCTGCTGTCATAATGTGGACAATGCTCACGGTCCAAGCTCGGGCGTTCTACCCGCCTGCACGTAAAATGCAGCATTTCTCAAATCAAGTTTATCACACCCACGACATTCAGTGAGGGGAACACCCCGGAATCATAAATCCATCACACGAGGTGATGAATGATTCCATTATGGTGCACAAGCCGTCACTCACGATGACCTCTATTTTAGCAGCAAAAGGAATCCAAACGAAGAATGCATTTGTCCGCCGAACTGTGTTTAAGATCTTGTAATGAGTGTAAGCCGCTTGTGACGCTCTGCATCCGGGATCACAGACAGCAAACATGTCTGTCTTGTCTCTCGATGTCTGTGTATGTTGGCGGCTTATCGCATCCATCACCGTGCGTGTGTGTTTGTATGCATGTGTGCAAGTCATACGACAAGGTCATAAGAATAACATTTGCGAGAGGGAGAGAGAAAGTGATGTCGGGTGGGGGGTGTTTGCGGTGCAAGCGGTGGATGGATGGATGGATGCGGGGAGGGAGGTAGAGCAAGAACAAGGGATGCTGAGGGAAAAAGATGGTATATTCATAGCAGCAGCGGTATTTATAGCCGCCCGGAGGAGAGGAGAGTGTGGGGGCGTGGCTTAGTTGGCTTCATGAGGTGGAGAGGGAGGGAACGGGAGGAGTCAAGCATCTCTGGTGTGAGAGGGAGGCTATTTAGCGTATTTGGCAGGAGAGGGGAAGAAAGAGGGGAGGGAGGGCTGTTTTTGAGTCTGAGATGCAAGGGGGAGAGAGAGACATGGGGGAGTGTAGGAGAGTACTGAGCTGAGAGGAATCTGTCAGATTCAAACACACACGACTCTCGCTGTCTGTGCGATGAAGAGAACGAGGGATGGGAGGGGAGATCTGAGGAAAAGATAGAAAGAGACAGCAGAGGAGCACAAAGTGAGGTATGCGGCGCTGACAGCCGGTGTGTGTGTGTTTGTACGTTTATGTGTTTACACTCCACGCGTGTGAGTGGCGCACGATTGTGTCCATGTAAAGTGAATGACTTTGTGTTTTTTTTTTTTTTGTCGTTTTTAGTTTGGGGCTTTAAAAAGCGTTTTGGAGATGACACATGCTGACTCTATTATGTAACGCGTGCATTATGTTCAGTGCGTGTGCGCGTGCGTGCGCGTGGTCGCCCGTGTAATTACGCTGAGGTGTTTATGTGGCTATTGTGTGGAGCCGTGCCACGGTGTCTCATTGGTCGCAGGAGGTGATTTATGGCAATTGTAAATAGAAGTCGACACTCCACATCAGCTCATTGTTAAATGGAATGCCCTTGTCAAGCGTATACTGTATGCCGTTTTCCATCTATTAAAATCAACAGATGTCACATGAGTGGTATTTATTTTTTGCTTAGCAAAAACACTAATATTGATCCATAAAATAAAAACTGCATCTATTGCTGATCGGTGAATCTACTGTATATACTTGCAAAAGAAATGATAAGAAAATAAACTGCTAAATAAATAAATGAAGCGCTCATGATTGACCTCTGCCACCAATAGTTTGGTGTTGGGGGGCAAGGGGTTTTCGACAATGCCCAGGAAGTGCAACACCAACCATTGCCAATTTCCATTTGTTTGTGCACTGTGGGTCTCCAACCCATTGGCATCCAGTCCAAAGCCAAGTTCTGACAAAATGAGCCATTGCCACCCATATTCATGGGGATGCAGATGTGTCGCACTTGGTTGCCCAAAGGGCACCTTGACTGTGTTTGGGAAGTACACTGTTCCCAACAATAGGGCAATTGATATTCAAATCACGATTAATAAAAATGATTATTCATTGATTTTGAAACTTGGTATTTATTCAAGGACGAGAGCTCAACAACTCAAAACCAAGACGATACCCTCATGCATGTTCACCCTGTTCAGCATGTCGAAGACTTTATCCTTTAAACACTCTACTCTTTCAAAATAATCTCGTAAATATCATGTCCAAGTCAAGCCTCTTGCATTTTCATTCTACAGCAACCACGCCTTAACATCCTTGCACAGTTTCAAATCGTATTTATTTGATCTTATCGCGTTGTTCTGTTTTATTTAGTGACGGGTATGCATGGAGTACACACACTGTGATAAGAAGGGTGGAAAAAAAGTTGTGCTTTCAGCTCTTTTGTTATTACTTGTTTTTCAACAGATTGGGAACAATTTGTACCGTGAATTATGATGGTACCTGCGTGTATGTTTCTCCAGCGTTTGTGTGTGAATATCGTTATTCAAGGGATTATCACTGCCGGAAGTAAATGCAAATTTTCCTGTTAGCATATCAATGTGATTTCACATTGACTCTAGCATTAGTCGCGGTGATGTTGCAAAAATGAAGCAGAAGAAAGACATACATTTTTTTCCTGTCATACTATTTACTCGGTCAATGGGTCCCAGCACGCTGGCGATCCTAGTGGGGATAAGAGATTCACAAATCCATGAAAAAATGTTTGCCAACATTTATTGAGCCAGGGTGTCCATTTTACATGAGAAAAAAATCTCATGGCACACAAATGAAAATGTCCCAAATGAATATCAAACTAAATTTATGATGAACTTGTCTCAAATGACTGTTTACTCAAATATAAAGCTGATAAACTCTCAGGAAAAACCATGACTTATTCTCTTGTATGAAAGGCAAAACAGGTGGTTGTAAAATGTTATTGTACTTTCTGCCATTGAAAGGACGTGAATTCCATTGATCTGCCTGTCGCTGTACATTGCTGATATAGATAGATGGCTAAAAATATATTTTTAACTACCGGTACAAGATTTTGGGGCAAATTAAGTGAAATTGCAAAATTTTCCACAGCACCCATTTTGAACTCTCACGGCACACTGGGTGCCACGCAACCCTGATTGGAATTCAATGTACGTTAAATCCTGAGATAAACTGACCTGGACTGTACCATTTGGTGAAAAAGATGACAAGTTTTGCAATGATTTGACACGCCTCTTCCAACAAACCTGATTATAACCTGAGTCCTCATGGACCGGAGTTGGTAACCCCTGCAGGAGGCTACACATTGTCCTAAAGCTGGAAAGAGTTCTTTCGTAACTGCCATCTCAAAATTGCAACACCTATAAGAGAAGCAATTTGAGCCATATTTGTAATAATGTGTTGACTGTCTAAATCATTCTTTGGAAATGGTCCTGTAATTATTGTCGGTATGTCCTTTCAGCAGAGACAT